TTGTCGTAAGGTTACATGCTTTCTGGGTATATATATAAAAGGGTCATTTTTAAAAAACTTGCACTTTTGATGAGCATAAATAATTTTAATTACCAAAATAAAATTTCAAATAGCATTTTTAAGCATTCAAATTAATTTACCAAATGTTTTTAGTTAGTAAATGCATACACATAAAAATTAGTATTTTAAAAATAACGTCAGTGTAATACCTTTTTAATGCAAGGCTAAATTGCTTGCCCAGCCTTCTTAGCCTCTTATTTTATTACAATTAAACCAAATGTTCATTGAAAATAATTTTAATTTATGTTGTGAAAATTGTGTTATTTGTAATATCTAACACAGCTTATCTAATAGTTTTAAATTATTTTCGGGTGAAAATCGAACATTTTAATATTCTCCCAGGATTTTTTGCATTCTGTTACTTCCACTTCATTGCCATAATTACATAAAATGGGTCTCATGGCTCCTTGAATGGTCTATTTTTAGATAAGCTAGCCATTTTAAAAATTGTCATTATATTTGCTTTATTTTAAGAAAATAAAACTTTGACAAAATAAGGATGATTTACTTACTGTCTCCCTCTGTTACATAATTGTTTTAAATTTATTTTTCTAAAGTTCATAAGAATGTTTTTAAAGTTTATAAAAAGAAATATAGGTTGATATCAATATTTGTATAGCTGAAATTCTGTAATTTGCAAGGCAAGAACATTTAAAACTTAGCTCTGATCAGCCTTCCCCTCAGTTTCCAACCATTTATTAAGCTTTATTTATAAATATAATTTAACAAAAAGCAATTTTAGTGATTTACAGTGTAAATTTGCTTAGAGTGTAAGTTTAGTTTTTTTTAAAAACACATTTGAGCATCAGTAGCAGAGGGATACGTGAGTTTCAATATTTCATTTTCTTATACTTCAAAGCAAAAAGTGCACCACTGTTTTAAGTTTTACGGAAAATAAACATTACAATTGCAGCTGAAATTTTAATAAGTAGTAATTTGAATATTAAATTTTTAAAAAAATCTACACTACCGGTCAAAAGTTTGCGAAAATTTTGAAATCTACGAAAAAATGGTCTAAATTCAAATGTTTATAGAACTGCGAAAAATCAGTCGAATTGCATGCAATTTTGATATGTTCTAAAGTGAATCCTCTACATTTAGTTACATATGATCAAATTGCAATACTTTGTTTTTTGCGATCTGAATCCAGCTTTTCATCATGGGTTGTTTCTATGGTGAAAAAAGTTGCTAAGTTTGAACACTTGCCAAACTTGCAAAAAAAATTTNCGGTTCAAATAACTATTTTCCATTAACAGAAAGTACAAAAAATTTTTTTTGCAAGTTTGGCAAGTGTTCAAACTTAGCAACTTTTTTCACCATAGAAACAACCCATGATGAAAAGCTGGATTCAGATCGCAAAAAATAAAGTATTGCAATTTGATCATATGTAACTAAATGTAGAGGATTCACTTTAGAACATATCAAATTTTCATGCAATTTGACTGATTTTTCGCAGTTCTATGAACATTTGAATTTAGACCATTTTTTCGTAGATTTCAAAATTTTCGCAAACTTTTGACCGGTAGTGTACATATTATATATATACGCACGCAATAAGGAGTGTTGATGTCTTAAAAGGTTTATTTTCTGCAATATGATTAAAAAAAAAATTTAATAAATTTTTAGCCAGTTTAATTTACCTGTACCAAAAGCATGTAGAGGTAATTGTTAAACGCAATTAACAAACCTCGCAAAATAAATGAATTGCACTAAATTTGGAAAATTAAATTAAGAAATTTTTGCTATCTGATTCTATGAAATTATTGATTTTTTTCCAATTTTATGCAAATTTTATTTTTCACAGGAACACTGCACCAAAGCATGTAGAAAAGGTGAAAAAAAAATTTTTTAAAAAATTCTTGTTAAATAATAAATTAAAATTGAATTTTGGGTTCACTGGCACTTCTAAGTGATTGCCTAGGTTCACCTAAATGATAGGTTTAGCTCTGCCTAGGTATGATTATATGAATAATGTTAATTTTTAGCTTAACAATTATGTTCTTATGATTTAACTTTTTCAGACTGATGGTGCAACTGCTTGTCTTCTGATGACAGAAGAAAAAGCTCTCTCTTTGGGCTTAAAACCAAAAGCATATTTAAGGTTAGTTTATTTATCAATTTTATTATGGGAAAACTTTGTGAGTATGCTAAAAGAATTTTTTTTTATCATAAATGTATATTATAATATTGACAAACAGAAGATTTTGCTTTTGTTATATTAAACATATGAGTTAAACTAATTAAAATTTAACTTATTAATTATTAGCGCTCTTAAAGATTAATATAAATGTTGGCTAAACATTAATATAATATAAAGGTGGAAAAAATAATAAAAAAAATCAGATTGATTTGAATCAGATTTTTTTATATTTATCCACAGGGTTGCCACAGAAAAAAATGAACAAAATAGTTGCTTTTAGTAGCCTAAAACATGAAAATAGTAGCCAATAATTAGTTGCCTAAATAAGAACAAAAATTCAGCAAAAATATGACGAAAATTTTGTTTATATATATATATGTGAAAAGTGATTATTCAAATTCGAAATTCACACATCGTAATATCATCGTATTAAAAATAGTTCTTTTTTAGTTGCTTTTTTTGAAGAAAAAAAAATCATGCGGAATTTCGTAGCAATAATCATTGAAAAGGCGATCGAGAAATGAAATAAACTAAAGGTTGTGAATTGAGTCTGTGCAGAGTGAATTAAAAAGTGAAGACTCAAATTTGCAATTCAAAATTTTTTATTTTTTAAGAAAAAAAAAGTTCAGTGTGTTCAGAAACTATCTTGTGGGGTGCAGATTTTCCACCCAATTTATGCTTTAAAAAAAAATTGCTAGGAGTTTAGAAAAGTCTCCCAATAGTCTCCTTTTCCTGAAAATAGTTGCTTTTTTAGCCTTTTCAGGCAAAAAAAGTTGCCATAGTTGCATTTTAGTCGCCTGTGGCAACCCTGTATCCACTAAATCTTGAGGTAAAATATAACTAAAACAGTTAATATTTCTGATTAAAATGTATCAAAAATTATTATTTATTTATTACAAACTAATCATTGAAAAATAAAATAGTTATTTTTGTCCAAGTTAAACATTCCAAAATTTTACAGACAAGGTGCCAATTTTTCATCTAAATATCAGGTGAAGAAAAAGTTATTTTGATTAGAATGCATACATTAAAGCAGTGTATCCCAAACTTCTGACTTTTGTGTACCCATTCTAAAATTTTCGCAACGCTGTGTACCACTATTAAAAACATGAATGTATTTTTTTAAAAATATGTTTATTTTTCTTTTTTGGTACAAATTTTTTTAATAAATTTATTTGCATCAGTGAGAAGGATGATATTGTTTTTGCTGTAATAAAAAAATTGCACAAAAGTTAAAAATCACAACTGGCTGAAGTTTCTCTGCCCAGAACAAGGAAAATTAGATGTGTCTTTTTCATCATTGATATACAATAACTATGAGTTTTAGTTTTATATTTGGGTATAATTCAAATATGTTTAAGTTATAATGGTGTTATAGTATGGTAAATAAATGGGTATATTGAAATATGTTTATTACCAGCAAATTATTTTACACACGGCTAATGGAGAAATATAATTTAGCAATTTCAAACCACTGTTAGTCTCTAATTTTATTAGTTTAAAATATAATAATTTACATACACATTTATTTCATAATGTCTAAGGATAAACCTTATAAATGAAATCAGACCCTAAATAATATATTTATAAATGATTATGAGTAAAAATATTTTTGACAAGATTTATTTTAAATTAATAATTTTTTTTAAAGAAATCAAATTATTTGAATTATGTCAGCCCTGAATAGAAGTTATGTACTAAAACTAATTTACTGAAACTGCTTTTACTTTTTTTATGAAAAATCTCTACCTTGTTGAAATAGATAATTTCCTAGAATTTTTTCAAAAAGTTTCAGAGGATTTAGTTTCTATAAGTTAACTTTTAATAGACTTTTGTATACTTTTTTGTCTTATATTTTAAACTACTACTTACTATGGTATCTTTTATGTGATAATAACAAACATTGAAAAGATTTTGTCTTGCAGAAATTTTGTTTATACTGCACAAGATCCCAAAGACCAATTGCTCTTAGGGTAAGTTTAATTTTTTTCCATGTTATGGTATTAAATATATATACTACTTGAATTTAAAACATAGGAATTTTATCATTTCAGGCCTACATATTCTACATCTAAAATCCTAGATAAAACTGGCTTAACTCTAAAAGATATTGATGTTTTTGAGTTCCATGAAGCTTTTGCTGTAAGTTATAAATTTAAGAAGTTTACAATTTTCTCTTTTAATTCAATGAATTAAATTTTGTATATCCTAATTTCAGGGCCAGATTTTAGCAAATTTTAAAGCCTTGGATTCTGATTGGTTTGCACAAACTTACTTGAATCGTAAACAAAAGGTATTAACGTTTTTGCTATGATTTATTTAGATAAATAACTTTTTTTCCTCACAAATCATTGTATTTCATCATTTAAAAAAGATGGAAACATTAAAAAATATTGCTACATCAAGCTTTATATTCATAACATTATTGCCTTTAGTATAAAAATAATTCTGATTATAAATCTGCAACATAAATTATAGTTTGGAGTTAATTAAAAATGTTTTTCTTCATCTCTTCTGGTCAAACATTCTTAATCTTAGAATATTTTAAATGCTAATGATTGAAGTCATTAATTTCTACAATGTGTTACCAGCTGGTAGACAAATAGGGTTCACAGTTTCTTAATTAAATTTATTTTAACCTAATTTTTGTGTATTCAGATTTTTTTTAAAAAATTTAATGTGGATTTTTAAAAGTAATTTTAAGAATCAAAAGATTATAATTTCGATCCCTATCTTTTTATTTTAATAAATAATGCTATTAAATATTGCAGAATTTAACGGTGAAAATTTTGGGACATTCATTTTTATGTAGTGTCAGGCAGAAAAGTAGCCCAATTCAAAAACTTACAACCATAAAACATCAATTGAAATTGAAATTTTCTATAATTTGGACAGGCAATGATTCTTCTGCATTCGCATGGTTCTATTAATTACTAAATATTTTGAAAATACTGTTTTCTGTCAATTTCGCCTCTTAAATGTTATGCTCTAGAAGTAAGCATCTTTGTAACAGTTTAATTTAAGGTTTGTCTTATTTATAAATTATCTGAATATAAGACTAGTAGTTAAATTTCCTATTAAATGTAATATTGATCACTGTAATTTTTCTCAAAAAATCAATCCTCCTCCTCGAAAGGCATAAGTTAATTATTTGATTTATAATGTCTCAAAAAAATGATAATAAAAATAAATCTAAGATTAAAAATTAAACAGAATTGTTAAACATACGTATTTCTATGAATTTCTAGGTTGGTGCTCCACCTATTGAAAAATTTAATCTTTGGGGTGGCTCCCTCTCTCTTGGACATCCTTTTGGTGCAACTGGAGTTCGTTTAGTAACAACAGCTGCCAATAGATTAATCAAGGAAGGAGGTCAACTAGCTCTTGTTGCTGCCTGTGCAGCAGGTGGATTAGTATGTAACTTTTTTCTACTTGAACTCTTTTTCAGAATTACAAAGTAAAAACCCTTACTGTAAGTTAATTTTAAAGTAATATGTTTATAATTGGGTACTAGCGTTGAAAATAATTTAAGTGTTACTGATAAAGTTGGAAATCTGGTATTGTACATAATGCATAAAATCAACCGACAAAGTATGAATATGAAATAAGTAAACATTTCTAAAATGTCTTATACATAGTATAAAAGTTACTACTATTTATTAGTATTACTTCGAAATAATTTTTAAGCACAACAAATAGGTTCATATTTTGTTCAATAAGAAAAACATTAATTTTTAGTAATTGGCAAGCATTAATTTCAAAATATATATATATTATTATGTTGACTACATAAGAAAAATATTTTTATGTGAAACACAAATTTTACATTAGCTGACTTATGTGGTTATTATTAATTATGTCCGGTTAGAGAAAGTGTACCAGGGAATGGCAATTTTTCTCTATAAAAACATCCCGGTACAAAATACCAAATAATGGCCAACACACTGGGTAATTATCTTTGTAAATATTAGTAATACTTGCCAATTACTAAAATTTTAGACCTTTCTTATAAACAAAGCAAAATATTAACATTTGTTAGCACCAAAAAATTACTTTATTTCTAATAAATCATAGTCATTGCATAATATAAGTGATGAGAAAAATGTTCAACCATTTCATACTTAGCTGGTCAATTTTCTGCATTTGACTGATTTTTTAGAAAAAAATGTACCACCCTGAATAACTTTTAATGTAATGACCGAATCTTCATGTTCTGGGACTCGGTCGTAATGGTTTGCAGGAATGACCTGAATAATTAGTGGAGACGATATTTTAAGTTACGAAATCAGAAACTTAAACATACCTTTCTTTGACAGATTTGGAATTCTGACTCCCAAAATATAGGGGTAGTTGCAATCTGGTCCTAATAGTTCAGTCAAGGAGAGTGGTTCAATGCTTGGCAATTTTACTTTTTGCATATTTTGCCATATTGAGAACTTAAGCCAATTGAACAATTTTTACACACAAATATAAAATTTGTTTATCCAAAAATAATTCCATACAAAAAATAGCTTTTAATAAATATTTATTATTTTTTGTTTTATTTATAAATTCTATTATTATTATTAATTCTCATTATTATAATCAGTCATTATTATTAATTCTCAAAAAATTTAATTTTTAAGTTTACAATTTTACAAGGCAAAATATAAAATTTGTTGAATAAAAAGTCATATTTTTAAAATTAAATTTCCAAGGAACTAGACTAATTTTGTTCAAAATTTGTATTTTCCCATGTAAAATTACGTTCTTAATAATGTAAATATTAACAGGGCTGATTGTGAGCCCAACTCAAAAATTTGGAAAATTTCTGGAGTAAAATCATTAATGGTGCATTTCAAAAAATTAACGTCTTATAAATTTAAATCTTTCATATTTTCAAAAAGTGAAATTCTAAACAAATTATATGCAGTATAATTTAAGTGAATAATTACTCATAAGTTTACTTTTATCTCTAATGACATTCATTATACTACTAAAAAAATATTTACAAATTAAAGAGGTGCCAAGAATAAATTCTAGTTCTAATATTTTTAAACAAAATATACAAGAAATTTTACACATAAATGTGATAGATGATTTCTTGAAACTGCTGTACTTTGGATTTCAGGAAACTTCCGGATCGTGGTTAGCAAAAAATCCGGAGCACAATCACCTCTGTATTAAATACTTTACAATTCAATTTTTTTTCTACTACTAATAAATAAAATAATCAATATTTACTAAAAGATTTTTTTGCTTTATAATTGTGTCCTAAAAGTTCTTGAGATTAGGCAAAAAGTAAAATTAACATTATAGGATCCTAACTCTTGACCAAACTACTGAGAACTTATTTTCCAGAGTGAGACTATACCTTATGGAAAAAAGGTATATTTAGTATCTGATTTGGTAACTTAAAATATCCTTTGCACTAATTAATAAGCACATTTAAGGTCACCCCCTTGAATCTAGTGCATAAATATATAAACATCTGATTCTTACATCGAAATTTTCATTTTTTTAGTTCTAGAACCTGAAGATTTCAATCAAACCTTATTCAGGGGCAATCCATTTTTTTTTCTTCCCCCATTTGCGCAATTATTAACATCATGTAAATTTTCAATTGGTAAGGTATTAGAATTGGTAATAATTAAGATTGAATAACAGTTAGAATAACAATTACTATGGTGTGCTTGTTGTGGCTCAACAAAGCTTTCATTTATATGAATGGCAAATATTTGTGTATTAACAAATTTAATTAATGTTTGACAAATTAAAAAGTTTTTCTTCTTTCTCTTTTTAGGGTCATGGACTTATTGTTGAGCGTTATCCTAACTAATTTTGTTTTGCCTACATTGTGAAGTAAGCATTATATATACACAATTGTGACATTTTGAATATTAGATGTTATTTATGATACACATAATCAAACATTAATTTTGTAAAAAAAATTTCTTTAATTAAATATATTTATACAACAGGTCTCTTTTGACACATTTTATGGATAAAATACTTAAAACAATTTGTAATAACATCTGTACAAACAATATTTACAACATGTTGTATACATTAGTGTTCCATGATCCTGTAAAAGAATTTTTTAAATAAAATTATTTTAGTTGACAAAACAGATTCAATGAGAGTAACATTTCTTTTTGCTATAGGGCTTTATAGCTGCAACTTTGATAACGTTTATACATAAATTAACTTTTGTTAGCTGTAAAAACAAACTTTAAATTGTTGCTAACTGTAACAAAATGGAAATGCTGCTCTCACTGGTTTAACAAAATTTTGATACAATAAATATAAAACATGAGTCTGATTATCATGTAAATAATATTAGAAATTGCTCTAAATATAGAAGTATTATGAAACTACTATCTCTAATGGTTATCATGTATGTTAATCTTTTTCAAATGAGCAGACCTGGGCCGCAGTGGCTTAAAGGATAGAGCATTCGATTCTCAATAAGTTGACCTAGGTTCAAATCCCAACGGTGGCAGATTGATACAAATTATGCTCCCGGTCCATACTGACCACAGTGTTGATGTTTAATATCCTTAGTAGCAGACGGATTGTGGGTTAGAATCACCTACCTGCGAAGTACACTGGAGAAATTTTCCTCTTCATGTAATGCAGGTTAGTTCCGTTAAAAAGTTCTCTACAATGGCTTGCTTGCCCTAACGCTTGATTGAGGAAATCCTAGTGTTCTGGGTTGGATTCTAGGTTAAGGAGTCAACCTTGACAGTCATTAGCTCAGTTGTCCGGTTATATATATATATAATTAAAAAAAAACTATGGGACCACACTGCCTGGTATCTAATGAAAAACATATCCTTGAACCTAAATGTTGGGGCACCCATTTTTACATAGATGGGTACTTGAAATAGCTTTAGCACCCAAAAAAACTGACCACTCTTAATAGCTTTTGATCTAATGATTGGATCTTCACATAAGCATAATTTTGTTTTTAGTATTTATCTAAACAATTTTGCATTGTTAGGTAAAAAAAATGTTTGCTTCATTTAAAAGAACTTAATTTTTAATGGCAAAATACAAGATTCAGCCAAAGTTGGTTGAATAGTTTGAGAAATCTAATTTTAAACATTCAATTTCTCAGGAACTCTTCCACCAATTTTGCCATGTAAAATTAGAAACTGTAATGTGATGCAAAAAATATATTCCTAACAATTTTTATTAAGTGAAATAAATATTTACAAAAATTTGTTTTTAACAAAATACGCTAGATATAAAATTAGCATTAAGGTATCCAAATTTAGTACCCCTCTCCCCAAAAAACTATTGGGACTATATTCCCCAGAGGTCAGAAATCCGAATCCGTTGAAAAAAATATATATGTCTCTTCAATGGAAGTTCGTTTTTATGTCTGATTTTGTAACTTAAAATATTGTCTGGACTAATTAATTAGCCTACTTGAGGTCATTCCCTTGAACCATTCAGATTGAGTCCTAGAATGTGAAGATACGATCATTAGATCAAAAGTTATTCAGTGTGCTCCTTTATTTTGAGCACTGTATATGAAATTATCACGAAAGAACTGAAAAAAATTGATTTTCTAGCATTAGTGACACCTGCAACAATTATATACTTTACTTGTAATTTAAGAGTTAAAAATAATTTAGATACAAACTAAATATATTTGACCCAAGGCTTATTGATTAAAAATATAAAAAAGATCTGCCCTAAAGATGCAGCATAAGGAATTAGTCTCATCAAACTAGCAGGTCACAACATTTTGGATCAATTTGTTGCAGATTTCATTTATTAAGAAAAGTTGAAATTAGAGATAATTTAAAAACGCTTACCATAAAGTGATATTTACAATAAAAAGGCACTTATTCCTTATTGTTCTCATTCTAGAATTGAAGGCACAAATTCAGGGTGAAATTTTCTGAAGAAAAAAAATAATAAATTGAGAAAAATTCTTAATATTATAAAATTCTACATATCACCATTTACTTGCCTATGAATTGCTTTCAACAATAATAATATAGGGTAAATACATATATAATAAAAAATCGTAACAAAATTTTAAGCGAATGCACATTACAGTTAAATTTTGTAATGTCTACATGTTTTTATGCATAATTTCAAACTACTTTAAGTAGCAGATCTTATAAGCATAATAATATCTAAACATTTGTCCTGGCTGCAGACCTCTGATTAACAGACTTATGCATGTGAAACAAAATTTGGTTAAAAAAGTAGTGGTTTTCAATCTATTATTTCGAAGAAGAAAAATTTATTTTCCTGGTTTATCTAAAACATTTCGAACATTATTCGTCACGTAAGACCATATCTTAACTTTGAAATCTAAGTTCGATAGAACTATTTCTGACCAATCACAAAGCAGATACTTTCCATTTAATGACAGTGGTGGAGAGAGATCAGAGGGGTAAAAAGGAAGATAAAAACTTGGTTATATGTTACAAACACTCCTAGATAATTTTATGTAAATTATATGCTGATTCAACAACGGTATACTAATTTTAATTAAGAGATTCAAATTACCTGTTTGCATTAATAAATTAGTCTCGGGATTGAAATGAAATCCAAAACTAAGATTCAATCTTCATCCGTAGTGGCTTTTAATTCATATTTGTTAATTATTACTGATAGAAACAAAGTGCCAATATTTGATTAATTATCAATTTTTACAAATTAAATGCAATTGTATAATCACATCACAGTTCTTCTTGATACAGACAAATGAATTGTGTTTTTTGCATGCATAAGTATTTTGAACTTGAAAGAAAAAATTGGAAATTACAAATTATTAACTAAGATGAATGTAAAAAGTACTCTTATGATATTTTAAAAATTTGAGTAATAATTCAGATTACAGACACAAAAATTTATAAAATCGAAACTAGGTGAGTCGAGGCAAATTCAAATGTCACAGTTAAAAATTCTCCCCCAGCCCATAGTTGAGAAAACACTTATAAATTTCTTCATTGGCCGAGGGAAAATACAGTACATGTGACCTGCAAAAAAAGACAAGCTTCTTTGACAGGCAACCCTATTACTTTGAGGGTGGTGTAATGTAACAGTTGAATTAGGAAGCTGGTCGCTTATGAATAGCAATCAAACAGGTTCGAAGTAATAGAATCGGAGAGGCGCATTTCAGTTGCAGAAGGGTATTACATTTCTTGCTTATTAACAAACTTAGTAGATATTAGTTTAAAAAAAGTTTTGATTTTAGTTTAAAAAAAGTTTTGTTTTCTTATTATATTTAATGATTTCTTTATAAATATTTGTTTTTATTGAGTGACTTGGTAATACTGTTCAAATTAAATGTTGCTAAAAAAAAGCTTATAACAAGTCAACAGATAAGACTATATTTAGATACAAAAAATTAAAAAATCTATAACTTGAAACTTAGTTAGAGAATCATTTTCCTTACTTCAAATTCTCCACATCTTCAAGTAGTTTCCTTTTCTCTCGACAAAGATCATCTATATCTAAATACAAATTACGAAGAACAGAAGTTCGAACCATTGTGTAGACATCAGCTTTTGTGTTATCATGCTCTTTGAAAACCTAAGAATGCAAAACGTCTTTATTACTTACGATATTCAAACTCATAAAATCTAAAAGAGTAACTAACTCATATTAAAAAGTTTGGATTCTACTTAGCACATTTTAAAATATGATTATCAAGGTTGTTATAAAGGTTTTTTGTAACTATGCAAAATGAAAGAAATCAAGATTTTATTTTGATTCTATCAAGGTGGGTAGCCAAATCTTTGAATCAAAAATAAGCACTTTATAAAAACTTTTCAAGCACTTTACAAAAATTTTCAAGCACTCAAAAAATTCATATTCAATCAATGATATTATTGAAAAACAAAAACTTTTTATAAAGAGTTTTAGCGTTTAAAAAAACCCAAAAAGAAACGGACGTAAATCAAAACAATCAGTACTTTCCCACATCACCGAGTGAATTCAACTTCACCCTGAACAAAAGTACCCTTACCCCCTACGTCAAAAAAGTGTTAGAAGTAAAATAAAATAAACAAGAATAAAATTAAATTAAAAAGAAAAACATTTCATAAGGATCTGATATTCTCGATCCGAATTGGAGCACTCGGGTTTCGGTTTTAAGTGTGCGCGCATGCGCAAGTCATAACGTGGGTACGACATGAAGTCCGCGTGAATGATTACGTAGCAAACACCCCATTTTTCGTGAAATGCATGGGATCCACCAGATATCACAGAAGAAAAAAAAAGCACTTTTTAAAAACACCAGCTGAAAAAAGCACCTTTAAAAGCTTTTAAAAACGAAATCCCCAAAAAAAGCACTTTTTACAAACGCTACGCACCCTGTCTATATAGTAAGTTTTGAAACTTCATTCCATGCTAAATTTTGTGATTAAGATTGTGGGTGGTATTTTTTTTTCCCCGCGTAATTTTGGAGGGGAGGCAAATTTTGATGGGCAGATAGTAAAATATAGAAGATGGTAGTGAAATATTTTATCATGAAACTTGCGCTTTTCCCCCTTCATATAATGGCTTGATAAGGAACTCAACTTATAGCTGTGTGAAGGAAGGACAGCTTGAGTTTAGGGCATAGTAGATAACCAAATGAAACATACATTGCATACATACATTCAGTGCACTAGCCAAAATTTAAAAAAAAATTATGAGTGAGCATGGTTGTTACTTAAGGAAGAACAAGTAAAGGAAGCCAATATATATGCCTCCAAAACAAGCTGCCTTTTACCTGGCCTTAAAAAGAGGTCTTTCAATTGCTACCTAAAAACTATGTTAAAATATGTTGGCCAAATTTATAAATAACAGAGGTTATTCTAGGCAGAAAACAGGGCAAAGTTTAAAAAAAAGGGCATTATTGTTCTAAAAAGGCAATAATTTCTTTCTATGGACTTTACACATTCTATTAAAAAAATTGTCTTTTTTTTTTTTTTTTACTTTACTAAAAGTTCCAAAGCAATCATATTAATTACTAATTTTTATTAATAAATTAACATATATATATCGAGTTAATTAGCTTAGTAACTTATTTAAAATGCATGCATATATTAATAAAATAATAAATGTATGTTTTTAAGTGTCTGTAGTTATGATTTAATGATAGTGAAGTAACTGCAAACTTTCTAAGACAAGTGCAACACGGGGGTGTGATGGCTATTTTTCCTTTCCAATATAAATCTATGTATTGACAGCAATGACAAACTAAATAAAAAGAGTTGAGGAAAGAAAAGGCAAAAAGGGTACTTTTACATCAGAGTACTAATTTACTTCAGAAGCAACAAGATGGATTCTTTTGACTAAAAGGGCAGTAGGGTGCTGCGCCCTGTTTACCCTGTCTAGAATGAGCTCTGATAATAAGGTACAAAAGTTTTTTTGTGATCATTCTCATTTTAGTTAAATTCTAATACAGTGAAACCTGAGAAATAAAAAGTCTGTTTAAATTCTAAGCAATGCAAGTTTATTTTACTTAGAAAATGATAGCTGAAAATATTTTTGTACATCTTAAGACATTTAATAAGTAAAATATTCTTATATTTGTTACCTTCCTATTCAATTTCCATAATAACAGTTAAAATTGTCCATAGTTTTTTTTTCTAACTTTATACAGTAAAAACTCTTGGGAGTTACCACTTTCTGTTCCACAGTAAAATGATCGTTAATGGAGGTTTGTCATTTTTCGGGATTAACTCCATTGATTTCAAAATGTTTTAAAACTAATGGTTTTTCTCAACTGATTTTAATTTTAGCCAGTGTCATTTTTGTGGTGTGAATGAGCCATTTTTGTTGGCTTCATGAAAACCTGATATAACTTATAAATGAATAAAACTTAGCGTCAATAAAAATGACCTCTAATTACGTGTAAAAACAAAGTTTAAGTTTCTATCATAAAAATTTTTTTAACTTAGAAAACTTTTTTCACTAGAAAATTAGAAAACGTTTGTTTGCTTAAAATGCTTAGTTTTTTTTTTTTTAAATAACTTTATTTTTCTTTATAACTTTATTTTTTTAACTCTAAAAATAAATCATTGATAGCATCATCTTTAGTACACTCTGACTGCAACGTGAGGTTGTTGATCTCTTACAGAAATCGTCAAAAAGAGCTTTCTAAAATAAGAAACACTCACAATTATTTTGAATACATTTAAATCTACTTATTTGTTTTGTGAACATTTTTTGTTTTAATATCTTTTTACGTTTCCTTATTTGACTTTTTCTGCATTCGCTGAGGGAGGTTTTAATGGTCTCTCAAAGGTTTTTTTCAACACCAAGTCTATGCCTCCCAAAAGTGGTCATAAACAGATGTGATCTTTCCTGGAGGTTTCACTGTAAAACAATTTTGCGTAATAATGCAGAACATACTCTGATACTCAATAAAATACCTTTTTTTTTAGTTGCTGGCACAACTGCAATCATTAAATTTTTAAGATTATATCTATTAATTTTTAAGATAATGATTATATCTTTTTTTAGATAGTATTTGCATCTTAAGATGCAAATACATTAAGAAAATTTGCATCTTAATTTGAGTAACAAAATTTTGAGTTTTTTGGAATTTGAATAACAAAAAGAGCATGTTGAACATTACAGTTTCAAGACAAAATTATCATTTAAGAATAGGAATTTTAATCAAAATCTTATTGAGACATATCGATCACATGAAAAAAAGGGCTTGAGGATGAAAAATCAGAATTTAGTCCTTAACGAACTATATAGTTATTTATCGCAAGAAGTAGATGGTCAAAGAACTATCATAATAGAAAATTTTATTTTATTCCAGCTATTCTAATAAAAATTTATATTTTGCTTTTTTCAACCAGGATAATAACAAGAGTACATCATTGAAAATAGTTTCAATCTTTCTCTCTACAATATAAATATTTTAGACGTTAAATACCAAACTGGTTAAAATAAAAACACGCAAGCTACATGTTTACATACCATTTCAGAATCTGATGTACTGCTGGATTCTTTTTCAGATATTTCCTTAGATACACTAAGAACTGTATTATCCTTACTTTCATCTAATTTATTTTGTTTCAAATCAGTATGGTAAATATTTTCTTTAACATTTTCCGCTTTGCCACTATCACTACTTTCATCTGATATGCCTATCATTTCCTCAGATGTAATGTCAATTGTATTAGAAGCAATAATTGTATCAGGGATTGATTCATCTTTTGCTTTGTTATCATCATTATTTTCATCTAACATATCTATCATTTCCTGGTCAGAAGTGATGCTATCTGTATTAGGAGCTACGGGTGTATCAGGAATTGATACAGTTTCCGATTTATTACTATTTTCATCTACTATATTAATTACTTTGTCAGAATTAATGTCACACATTTCAGGTACAGTATCACAAATTGATTCCTCATCCCCACTTTGTTTAAGGAAATCTTCTTTAGGTGGTGGCAGTATTTCCAAATCTTGGTTGTCTTTGGTATTGTTATCTTTCGAATTGCCATCTGTAGTTGCAACATTGTGAATGACTTTCGCATCGTTGTTTTCAGTAGCGCATTCTTTGGTTAAAGGACTCTTTTTAATGACATCAGCATTTTCTTTAACACTATTTCTAAGATAAAATTATGTAAAAAAAAAATACAAAAATTATTATGTTTGATGACAAGAGAAAATATCCAAAGTTTAAGTAATATAGAAATATTTTTAATTTTATAACTTTACATCACAATGAATTGATGCCTAACTGTACATTAATGATACCATATCAAAACAAGATGGTAAAGTTTAAAAATAATTATCATACGAGTCTGAATTAATTTTTATATTCAAAACATACTATATAAGATAAATGAAAGGTGAATTTCTAAGAAAAACAGTATTACACTGAAACACAACTAGTAAAATATTTTGATTTAAGAGAACAAAATTGCCCAATACTATGAGATCAGCAGATGTGCATAATATACAGGAAATCAGAAAATGTATGATTATAAAGGAAAATTTTACTATATAGCTCATTATATTTAAATATATATATATATAAGGTTGGGATTGTATTTAACTTTCAGGCATTGAAAACTGAATGGACGGTGATTATTCAAAAATATTTATTCCATGTTTACATTGAAATGTTTCTGAGCGACTTAGATTTTAGATATAAGTTAAGTCAATAACTAGTTTGATATCGTTAAAAAAACTGCTAATTCAAAGAAATGTATGCTAGAAGGTATAGTAATCAAGTAGTTTAAGAAGAAAAACATTTTTGAACAAATTTTGCAAAATTAGGTTTATGACAAAATATATATATTTTATCAGCATAGTTCATAGCAGTTGTGGTTGAAAGTAAACATATGACCCTAAAGGATATAAAGTGATGGTATATTAAATTTGGCTAAGTGTTTTAATTAATGTTAACAAATAATTGAAGTCTGACATTCTATATAAGTACAGTAGGGAACCGATTATCCGGAACGATCGGGACCATCACTATTCCGGATAACTGATTTTTCCGGTTTTCTGAATCGCTACAAAAAGCCGTTTTTTTATTGTTAAACCCAACTGAAAAAAATTTTTTTTTAGGAAATAATCTTGAAAAGAAGAAAAAACTATGAAGTAATACACTAATGATTATTTCCAAAATGATGGTAAGGTGAACATCTTTCAAAAAAGAAAGAAAAATCCTAAAATCTTATAAGGAAAAAAAAATTTTGTTTAAAAAATGGCGGGAAAATTCATCGAATTTCGTTCCGGTTTTCTGATTTCCGGATAACGGGTTCTGTACTGTACTTAAAAATGAGGAATAATTACAAAACGATTTTTAATAACATAAATTTTTTGTGCATTTAAAAAAGTAAGACTTACAATTAAGAAAGGTTTGACACACTCAAGAAACAGTTAACTTTTTTTAGACACACGTACAATGTGTCTAAACAAAAGCAATGAAAAAATTAATTACAAGTATGAACATTAAGAGCATTTAAGAACATTAAAAAAAATTGAAACTTTTTAATAATTTACTTTAGGAAACCTTTTAAATAAAATAGACAGTGTTAACTGAGGAATAGCTTAGTTATTGGATGAACTTACTCATTTTTCTTCAGATCTTCAATAATTTGCATTAATTCCTTGTTTTTGGATAAGGACTGCAAAAATATTAAAAAATAACTGATGACTTCTAAAGAAATTTCAAAATATTTATTGACATAAAATTTAATTTAAGTGAAGAGCATCCAACAGCATACTTATTAACCACCATAAGAAAAACAGAAGTAAAACAAAACTGTAGAATTAAGTAAGATGAAATCAACAGAGATAGATAAAATTTAGAAGCCAGGTTTACCAAGCAACTAGAAAAATTCCCTTATCAAACAAATTTTTTTACTTATTATTCTGATACTTTTGATTGAATTTTTAAAAGCAGGAAGATTCATTAAAAGGGAAAAAAGTCAAATTTGAATACTTCTCTGCCAAAAAATAGTACCTATTGATTCTATTATATACGTACACATGCAAAAAAATGTTTGTATTAAAGGAAAAAATATGAATATTATAATACTGCCTTCATGTTTATTTTATAGTCTGTTTAATTACAATTTTAAAAATTTGTTTCCCTAAATTTTTTGTTAAATTCGATATTTTTCAATTAAATATTTAACTTATTTATTGTGAAATGACACAGATATGATCCATATCACTAAATGGTAAAGCAGAATTCTCTCTAGGAATAAAAGAGGGCAAGGTGCTTCCTCACAGAGAAGCGCAATCAATAAACACAGTTAAAATTTATCAAAATGTTTAAAATCATGTAATAACTGAATTTGATTCTCAACAATATCTGGCTTTTAAAAAAATTTCCTTGCTTTTGTTTGTCTCTGTTAATATACAATTTAAGTTGAACTTATGTGTGCAAAATAGATAATGTACAGGTGGGCAAAATAGAGAATATAAAATTTTCAAACTGATAAAAAGAGATAGTTTAAAAATTCCCCTAGCTCTATTGTTTCATTAATGTTAATTCTAGTAGATCAATTGAATCAGGTGGTCTCCAAATTTCTGTTATTATTTCTAATGACACTTGGATAAGCCAAGTTAGTCTTGCGAATGAAGTTAGGAAAGTGTGCCTTTCATTTAACAAGAGAGCACTGCCAGTGTAAAAGTTCATCTTAACACAGAAAACCCTGGATTAATGGCAGCACTGATCATTTGTAAAACCACTTCCACAATTTAGACATAAATCTGAAGGTAAGAAATTTTCTCCAAATAACATTGGCGCTGCTCAACGACCAATCACAGGAATTTCGATTCCACCGCTTTTGCGAGCATGTACTTGGTGAGTCTTAGTGGAGTACAGAATCAGACCTGTCTTTCTAGGTCTGAGACTGATTTTCTAACCACTCGGCTAACATGGTTAATATCAAATTTTCAAACATGAAAGGCACTGTTAATAATTGTTTTTGTTTTACACAACTATTTCAAATAATAAAAAAATATAAATAATTACCAAATAAAGAACTCTGACTGATAACTATAAACTACATTTTTGAATAACATGAGGCTTAATGAATGTATTCCACTCAAATATAAATTTTCAATTTAAATCATTCACGATCTTTAGTGCAATATGGATATCAAAAGCCACACCTTACTAAGTATGCTAAATTTCATAAATAAGAATTTTTATAGTATTATTATAGTTAAGACATACAACATTCTTTCTGTAGCTCGGAGTCTAACCAAATTTTAAATTTAACAATGCAAAAAATCAAACTTTTACTGAACCCTAGAAAAGAACTATAAAAATCAGTTTTTTAAAAGAAAAAGTTTTATTTTCCATATTCATAAAAATTGAATAAAATATTTAAGAATTTAAAAGATCTTTATACATCAAAGAATTTATAAAAAGAACTAAAGCCTTTTAATAAGAGGATTAAAATTAAAAGTGAATATAAATAATTAACAGGAGTACCTTTGCGAGTTCAATCTTTAACTTTTTACACTCTTCTTGACATGAATAATATTGCATTTCTAATTTATAAAATTTCACTTTTTTCATTATCTCTATGTCACTGTCAGTAATACATCTTTTTTCTTGTACAACTGATTTGATTGTAACACCTCTTTTGACTTCAGGTTGCTTTTCAAGCTCACTTTCACTTGTTTCCTTAGGCTAAAAAATAAACAAAACAAAAATTATAATAAAATTATTCTTATTCTTTACATTTTAATTTAAGAATGAGCAACATCTGTCATAGCATTCAACAAAAATTAAAACGTAGCTAATCATTTAAGAGAATTAATTATATAGTAGTTCAAAATTTTGAAGTCATACTTTTCAGAGAAGATATTACAGTAGGGAACCGATTATCCGGAACGATCAGGACCATCGCTATTCCGGATAACTGATTTTTCCGGTTTTCTGAATCGCTACAAAAAGCCGTTTTTTTTATTGTTAAACCCAACTAAAAAAAATATTTGGTAATAATCTTAAAAAGAAAAAACGATAATGTAATACACTAATGATTATTTCCAAAATGACTGTAAGGTAAACATCTTTCAAAAAAGAAAGAAAAATCCTAAAATTTTATGAGGAAAAAAAAAAAAAAAAGGCGGGATAATTCATCGAATTTCTTTCCGGTTTTTTGGTTTTCCGGTTTTCTGAATTCCGGATAACGGGTTCTGTACTGTATTTGATTTTAAAAAAAAAATGCCTATATGTAATGTCCACATGGATTGGCCATTTTGTGAGGTATTACATTTTTCGAAAAAAAAAAAAGACCACCCTGAATTATATATTAAGATTGCAAAATCACCAAAGTCAACCAATAAACGGATTTCTTAAATATGACAAAAAGGAAAATGCGATTTATTGAATTTACAAGAATACTAAATGCAAAATCTTTAAAGAATACAAACATGCATTTAAATACCAAAGTTTTTCTTTTTTTAAAAAAAAAATAATGATACTTTTGTATAATCCTAAGAAAATACCAATTAATTTTGGGGGAAAAGTACTAATTATAAGAAAGCAAACTGTAAAGGTTTTATAGATTATCAAAGCTTGATATAATTTTTTACACTATAAGGGATATGAGAAAATTAATATAAACTCTTATTCATATGGTGAACAAGAATCATGGAAAATAATACATGTCAGTGTTATTGAGAATGCAAGAAAAATATAAAAATGATTCAGTCACATTTGTTCAAATAAACTAAAAACAAAAGGTATGCTTATCAAATATGGTTAAATCAATAAAAGTAAACAATATGGCAAGTATAGATAATGTTTTAAAATCAAGCATTAGACCATTTAACTTCCGGCAAGATAAGAAAATGCCTAACAATAACAAATAAAAATGTTTAATGCTTATTTTTTTTTTTTTAATTCAAGAAACATAGTGCAACTTACAGGGAAAAAAAGAAAGAACTGTGATTTAAAAAAAAAATAGAATATTAAAAAAAATTGAAAGAAAATAAATCACATAAGTTACTATTTTTTTAATTTAAATAGTTTCTATTGTTTTCCAGGCTTTTTAGCAAATCATCAAATGATTATCGAAATGAGGACATAAACAGCAAATATTTTTATGGGTTTAAAACGAAAATTAGGATTGTTTTTGAAGAAAACTATTAAAAATAAACACAGAATTTCAAAACAAATTACAAACTTTCAAAATTTAAGTTCAAAATAGCTTATTTTCAAATTATATGAATTTGTGAGGGACCATACATTGCAAAAATAAACCTATACTGGATGTCTCAAAAACAACTGATGTATTTCGAAAATCAATAATAAAAAATAAAAATAACTAAGTATACAGTTTGCAGCCTTATGCTTGAGAAATTAGGAATTTCATCCCATCATATTGCACAAGTCCACTAATAGGTGGCATTGCAAAATAGGAATAACAGCAACTGGTGTAAAAATGGTGCAGGGATCGTTGCAAAACAGCAAGCAATAATGAATATTTGCTGTTATGTTCTAATGTGTAAACCATCATCAAAATCCTTTACAAGCGCTCACCTACTGATAGCATGGTGTCGAAATATCACCTGGGAGTGTCGAGGAGTCTATTTCTATGGAGCTCGTGCATTCCTGCAATGCTTATAAAATGTGCAATTTGGTTGGATGAAATTTCATTGTTTCAAAAGCATAATGCTGCAAACAATACATTTTTATAGTGTTCCATTCTTTTTTATTGATTGTTAAAAATCCATCAGTCATTTTTGGGACAACCATAGAACAACTATATTTATCTTTAGACAAATCAAATAAAAATTTTAAGTGCATTACCTCAGAAGTACAAGTGTTATCTGACATGTTTTTAACTTTTGAAGTAGTTTGCTCAGTTGAAGATTCTGCATTCTGAATAGATGAAATATAATTTGGACTAGAAGATGAGAGTATTAAATTGGATGCCTGAGTTCTTGTAGAACTTATGAAAGAAGCTATGGGCTTGCTTGGTTGCATAGCTAATGAAGGGACAGTTTTAACAGTCAACATCGATGATGATTTAGTTGGAAATAAGTTTGTAAATGGAGAATGTTTTGTTTTACTTTTACCTTCAGGTAAAAATGTTTTATTCTGGACTTTTACAGAAGTTTTTGTGGTAACAGAAGTCTCACTTGTTGATATTTTGGCTTTTTTAGAAGATAAAACACTTCCAGATTTAGATTTAATATCATCAGAATCTTTATGGGAATTTGAAATACCGCTTGCACATGAATTAGAATTATCTTCAGAACTATCTGAAAATAAAGGTGCTTCATCATTGACTATATATGCAGATTTTGTGGAAGCATCATAAACAGCACTTACACCTTGTTTTGAAGATAAAACTTCTTTAAATTTTTTATATTTTACATCTGAACCATCTTCAGGGGAATGTTTTCTTTTTGTAGTAGATAAAGCATTTGTTGATGAAGAATCATCTGTAGTAGAATCAGTTATTGAAATTTCATTTTTCTTTAAAGGTGTAGATGTAACGGGTGTAGTATTTTTTTTAATCACAAGATCATCATCTACAGGTTCTAACATAAAAAGTTCCCCTGATGATTCAAAAACAAAAGTGCCTGGCTTGTGATTCTTAGACTCAAATATTTTAGAAATATTTACATTTGGTTTGGTTTTAGAATTTAAAGCTACTGGTTTACCTAAACTAGGCTGAGAAGAGGCCGTTTTAGAATTATCTGGAGTTGAGCTGACAGTTGTAGAATTTAAAGTAACAGGATTCCTAGTGCTAGACTGAGAAGAAACAGGTTTAGCATCAACTACAACATTTGTACTTGAGGTAGCCGAATGAGTGCTGTTTGCAGTAGGAAGAGAAACCTTTTGAACCTTGAGTGTGTTTGAAGAGCTTGCTACATCTGTAGACGGAGAATTTTCAAATTTTCCCAAGGCAACTGGCACGGTTTTTGCTAAAGGATTTGGACCAAGATTTCCAAGTGAATTTGTGACTAATGAGTTCGTAGATAAAGATGTCATGGGCCTTACAGTTTGTAAAACCATAGGGGAAGAGAGACTTGCAGATGGTTTTGATTGTAATAAAGATGGAACAGGTGAACTGTTTGTATAGGGTATTAAAACAACAGGGGCATTAGAAAAGGATGTTGAAAGGGATGAGACACTCTGTGCTTGAGATGAAGTACTTTTTTCATTTGCACCAGCAAGTAAAGGTTTGTTAGATGAAAATAATCCCCCTGGGAAGGATCCAGTAAATGAAGGTGTCAAGGTTGGTAATGGCATGGGAGCCATTTGGCCACTTGTAAACTGTGGCAATGCAGAAGATAAAATAATACCAGAGCCTAAATTTGGATTAAGGGCTGTCCCTGGTGCATTCACAACAGGAATCAATTTATTGTCGATAGACAAATAAGTTTGAGTCATAGGAGAAACTACATGAGAAGTGGGGTTAGGACTTTGAGCAATAGCAGAATAAAGAGAAGGCCCTGGTTTTGTACCAATTAGCGAACTCAAATTCGGTTGTGGAACAGGAACACTTGCTAATATAATTTGAGGTGTATCTGTATTAATTACTCCAAGAGATTTTGAATTCTGCTCCAATATTCCATTTTTTGTAGAAATAGAATTCTCAGCGTTCTTAGTATTAGATTTTAATAATGATCGAGATGTAGTCTTGTTGAGTGATTTACTATTTTTATTGCTAACCAATGAAAAATTTTCTTTGTCTGACATTGATTTTCCTGTTAATGTTTCAGATAAATTCCCAATAGAAGAAATTTCATTTGAAATATTTAATTCACTTGATGAAGGTTTATTTGGCGGCATTGGATTAATTGCAATATATCTCCCACCTATGCTAGAAGGATGAATATTTGTAGTGCTAGCTTCTTTAGTATCAGAAACTAGGTCAATGTCATTTGAAGGAAATTCATTATTAAAGCTGTCATTTGTTTTATCGGAATCTGCTTCTTTCTGAAAACTTCTTTCAGATGCCACTGTGGCTTTATGGGTAATTATAGTGCCTGAATTTTTCTTTGCAATATTCTTTACTAAATCTTGAAATTGTGCACTAGCTGATTTATTTATATTCACTTTATTTGCACTAACTTTTCCACAGGCAACTGATGCTAAACTGTAAATAGATGATTCTTTCTTTTTAGAAGGATCCTTTTTGAAGGAAAAATTTGGTACAATAGGAGAAGTTTGAGGTAAATTGACTTTAGTTGATTTACCCCTTTTAATATTAAACATATTCATTGGGATATTCCGTGACGATGAAGTGGATGGAATACTTTCATCAAGAGTTTCAGTGACAAACACTTCAGCACCAGTTTCAACACCTTGACCAATGCTGTTAAGCATATCCATAACCTTGACATGGGAATCTTCTTCTTGAACAGAGCCTAAATAAAAATAATAAGAGAACAAAACAAACTTAATGATATTGCACTTTAAAATGTTTTAATATGCTCAAGAAATAATAGTACAGTTTTATTATTTTAATAGGCATCGATTGTATCTAGGTACTGCTGTTCTTGGTTTTAACTAACATTAATAGATAATTATAACTGAAAATCGGTATCAATTATTTACTTTTAAAATAATCGGTTCTAAAAAAAATTCCTCCACTAAATTATTTTCTAATTATTTAATTGTTTGTAAGTTTTTGTGGAGATTTTTAGTTTTTGTTATGTTTTAAATTGCTGATTGCAGGGGAGTTTAAGCAGAGCAGTTCAAGCATGTCTTTGCAGAAATATTTATGTTTGTAACAAGTGATGGCAATTAAAAAGTCTGTCCTCTAATTTCAAAGTAGAATTTTTCCTTAATCTACTTAGAAATTTCCCCTTACTTACTTTACTAAAGAAGATCACCTGACATTTTTCTTGTCATGATCTTATTTTGTAAACAACATCAAATAAATTTATTATTTAAATAAATGAAAATAAAGTATTTTCCATACATCTGTTTTACTTTTTTTGCTCCAATATTCATTTTAGTACGATCATAATTGCTACTATATGATATGATAAAACACATGACTATGTATTGCTTATAGTCACACTGCAACGGTAATACTGAAAAATCAATCTATACATAGCATATACATATTTTTTTATATTTAAAGTATATTTCCAAATTCGTGAATAATCCATTAAGTATGTTTTTTATTTGGATCTAAAATTCAAAACGTGTATAAGTCAATGTAAAAAAATAAGGTATGCTATGCATGGAAATAAAAATCTTCTTCCTTGTAGTAACTTGTAAAAAGCATGGATCTTCAGGAATTCATAATTAGAAGATTAAAAAATAATAGCATTTCTTGTCCTTTTTATATGTTTTTTTTACAACGATTAAATTTAGACATTCCATTATTAAGTATTGTTGTATGCATTTTTATGTTTTGTATGTATATTTCCAAATATTTATTCATTATCTCTAATGCTTGAGAAAAGGAGAAGTCAGAGACCTCCATAAAGATTAAAAAGAGCAGGGTGCTTTTTCAAAAACAAGTGCACCTTCAGTTTAAAGAGCACTAATCTTGCTAAATATATATTTTTATCTAGCTAGATTTTTGCCTTTCAAACGGAATTTAAAACACTTAAATAAATATGAGAAATATTTCATAATAAATCAGTCTAAAAATCATTTGCAGTAATTATGGTAATCTGAAATTCTGTAACTGCAATCTTTTTAAAAAAGTAAATAAAAGAGCATTTTTTTCTAAATAGAAGGAGAATAACATTTTTACAAAAATGGAACGAGGGAAGCATTTACCTCAGTGAAAGGGCAGGCAAAGTAGGCCACCCTTCTAAAAACACTTTGAATGAACAACACTGTTGAAGTATTTCTATTGGCGATGTCTACCTGGAATTTTTCAAAGTTAGTGGATTGGATTATAAGCAGATCCCCAACTTAAGGTTTGGAAAATTTTCTCAAAATTCTTGGCTTATATTAAGAAATATATCCTTCATTATTTTTTCGGGGATTACCTATTAAAAAGCATGAAAAATTGGCACTACGGACAATCAACCGCCGTAGATAATCTGCCAAAATTATTTTCTGGTCATCAGACATCATGAATTTTCTATCAACTTTCATTTCCCACAAAAGTGTAAAGGATTATTCACACTGGATTCAAAAAGTTTGTGCATGCCCGAATTCGGAAATGCGAATGAGAACCTTCTTCATGAAATATATTTACCAAGAAAAACTTTAAAATCGGATTCTCATTCGCATCTCCAATTCGCATACGCGATTTTTTCGCATTCTGTGTGATTGCTTTTTAAATGTGATGAGTCTGCTAGTTCGTTTTCCTGCTGATGCTGACTGGCTCATAGATAGATTCATTCACAAACATGGAATCAGCAGATGACAGAAGCTCTGTAATTAGTTATTGCTCCTGTGCTAAACGAATCAATGTATAATCTGCAGACTACACAGCAGTGCGTATTGTATGTCTTAGGTCTTTCAGTGAGGATAATACTCTTTCATGGATGTTGCGCAGAAAACTACAATTACTTCTTCAATCTTATTCAAACATTGTAATTTTGGTAACATTGTGAAAGCCCTGATGGCTGTAATAGTAATAGAATAAATAGTTAAGTTATGCTTACTTATGGCTGCATTTAACTCATCTTGTTCAACTTGAACTGAATGTCCAACGTGAGTATTCCAGTAATCTACTTTTATTTCCAGATTTTTCATATTTTCCGTTGCACAAATCATGGCTGGGCACTTCGAACTGGAGATATTAGAAACATTAAATTTTTTCTTTTTGTGGGATGTTTGATCACATTGATATACATGAATTTTTTCATTGGTAGGTAATACTTTTGGAGCTGATTGCAATGCATATTTACAGGAGGACCTTTTTTCCAATTCTGTTTTCCAGAGAAAGAAATCTGAAATAAAGTTTAAAACAAATATATAAATAAACAAATATTTTAAATAAACTTTTAATTGAATAATTTAAAATTTTAATACTTGGAGTATTTAGCTCAAAATAAATTGAAATACCTAAGATTTAACCCAAGGTATTAATACAGTGTTTTCATCGCAGAAAAAAAATGGGTGAGAATTTCTCACCCTTTCTCAAAAACAGGGTGAGATTTCAAAAAGTTAAGTAAAATTTCTAAAAATTACAAAAAAAAAAAAAAAAAAAAAAAAAAAAAAAAAAAAAAAAACACAAAGAGATTTGAAAAAAAAGCAACTTCTTTAATAATAATAAATTTTTAACATCTTCTAATTTTTAAAGCATTGAATATTTTTGCTGCGTCATCATATGGAAAATGTTCTACATCTACTTTTTCATCAGCTATTCTCATTAGGTTGCTCAAACGCGTATTTGTTTCGTTTTGATCGTTTCTACCCACATTTGTTTCATTTTCATTTGTCCGATTCGGACTAGAAGATATTGCCTTTACAAGGTATTGGTCCATCTTATATTAATGCACAAAAAATTTGAACGAACCTTAGAAGAAACCTTAACATGAAGAAACCTTAACTACAGTAAACATGTGGTTGCAGAGAAATGCGTTCTGAAAGAGGTTCCATGGTTCGGAGGGATGGTGTTCTGTTGTTCTTAAAGGTTCTGAACTGTACTGGTAAATAGGGAAGCTAGATAATGGGGCAGATGTTGAAAATAATGAAAGATACATAAAGAAAAGTGAAACAGATTTTATTTTGAATGGCGCAATGAGAAATTTTTTTCAAAATGCGAGAAATTCGCGAATTTTGAAGTTGGTTTATAGAATGCGCAAATTTCTTGCGGTAATCATTTTTTAATGCGAGAAAAGAAAAAAATATGCGAGATTCTCGCGCTGTAGTGAAAACACTGTAATACAGTAAGGAACCGATTATCCGGAACGATCGGGACCATCGCTATTCCGGATAACTGATTTTTCCGGTTTTCTGAATCGCTACAAAAAGCCGTTTTTTTTATTGTTAAACCCAACTAAAAAAATAAAAAAAAATTTGGAAATAATCTTAAAAAGAAGAAAAAAACGATGAAATAATACACTAATGATTGTTTCCAAAATTATGGTAAGGTAAACATCTTTCAAAAAAGAAAGAAAAATCCTAAAATCTTATGAGGAAAAAAAAAAATTTTTTTAAATCGCGAAAAAATTTATTGAATTTCGTTCCGGTTTTCTGATTTCCAGATAACGGGTCCTGTACTGTACAATAAATTCCCCGAGGCAGAATCGTGGCGACATTATTGCGGAACATTACCAAGTTCTTGCAGAAAGATTTTTCTTTTTGGAAGTAAATAAATTTGGTTTTCTTTTCTGCAGAAATTTTTGAAGGATTTTATCTTTCTTCGGAATTTTGTTTAAAAGATGCCTTTCTCGCTCATCAAGTGGAAAAAAAAAATGCTTGCGATTTTTCTATTCTTATTTGAGAATAATGAAAAATAACAAATGATGAAGTAAAAAATTTGGTTTCCTTTTCTACAGAAATTTTTGTTCCATTTTTTTATGAGGTTTCCACATAGCTTTTAAAATCTGATATTTTTATACAACTGAATCTCGAAATGAAAACACACATTTAGTAATCCCGTTTTAAAGGTTCGCTTGATTTTGCCTTCAATATTTTTTCCCCGGTAGTTACTGCTACGGATTTAATGTTTTTTTAAATTATATTTTCTAAAGTGATGATGATTTACAAAATGCGAAAAGAAATTAATTAGTGTGATTTCTCCCTACAAAATAAAAGAATCTTTCCTATAATATTAGAATTTAAAAAAAATACTAGATACTAAATTAAAAAATTCTTTAATTTGATCTCCAAAGTTTTTTTTTACTTATTTCATTTCTTTATTTATTTATTTGAAGTTGACACTTCTGTTATTCTACATTAGCAATATGCATATTTTTTATTCTTAAAATTATCTTGCAGAAAGATTTTAGTGCTAAAGAGTTTTGACGCAGAAAAACCGAACAATTTCTACCTCAGGATATAAAGTCAGAAGATTGATTAAAAGAGAAACGACTGATTTAATACTTAATTGCAATGAACACTAAGCATTTATTAGAAAGAGAAAAATATAAATGATTCAATATTAGAAATGCTTACATTAGTACAAAAGTTTAAGCATAATATAAATAATATCAAAATAACACCCTTAATAATTTTAATAGATAATTGCTACAGCTTTCAGTTTTGCTGCAAATTTTTTTCCAAAACGCACATATCATGACAGTAATTCTGCTATACTTCAGAAAGTGTATATATTTTAATTACCATAATTAAACATAACATAATACAGTAGAGAACCGATTATCCGGAACGATCGGGACTATCGCTATTCCGGATAACTGATTTCTCCGGTTTTCTGAATCGCAACAAAAAGCCGTTTTTAGTGTTAAACCCTACAAAAAGCCGTTTTTTAGTGTTAAACACAACTAAAAAAAAAATTTATTTGGAAATAATCTTAAAAATAAGAAAAAACGATGAGGTAATTCTCTAATGATTATTTCTGAAATGATGGTAAGGTAAACATCTTTCACAAAAGAAAGAAAAATCCTAAAATCTTATGTGGGAAAAAAAAATTTTTTTTTAAATTGCGGGTAAATTTATCGAATTTCGTTCTGGTTTTTTCGTTTTCTGATTTCCGGATAACGGGTTCTGTACTGTACCTACCATAACATAATTTTTCGTTAACCCGCACTGCACAGCTTAGTAGCTCAGACGTAGTGACATCTTTCTTATTTTCTCCATTGCGCTGTTTATGATCGTTCTGCCGGACTACTAAATTGACCGGTGCTGAAGCCTTCTATCTTCTAGGAGGTGTTATTACTCAGGTCATTTAAATTTCTAAGTTTTCTTTAACTAAAACTAGATTCCAATATAAAAAATATGAATCTCCTATTTGTATTCTTCACTAAACTGATAGCACTATAAATTACTTAGAGGTAGGAGTCAGAGCTGAAATCACCACAATTGTTTTAAATAAGTCCTCATTATATTCTGCTTTTTTTGCATTAGTAATCATATTTTGTTAGAATTTTTTCCTAGTAACAAAATTACATTATTTATTTTGTCTTTTTAAAGTTGAACTTTGCCCACTAAAATAATCCAGTGACCTATTTTTTTCTATGACGATCTTAAAGGCTCCCAAAGATTTTGTCACAACTATTTTTTTTTCGCGACCCTTAACAATTATTCGACGCTCTATAAAGTGTAAGCAAAACTGCTTGGCCTCAAAAAAAAAATTTTTTTAAACAATTTTATCAAACTTAATCATTTTTAACAAAATTTTAACTAGAGAATATGCAATATGCTAGAAAATAAAAAACGATCAATTCATTCCATTGCAATTAAAATTTTTGTGATTTAAGATGAAATATGAATTAAAAATATAATTACTAATTTATTGGAATTTTCAGAATATGATAAAAACAAAAGGATGGGAACTACATGGGGGAGATTTGGATTCACATGGGATTCATGATCAGTGGCATGTCTTGGCAACTAAAAAAAAATATCACAGAAAGGGACTAACTTGAAAGGTATAACTCATAGCCACCCTGGGCAAACATCTACAAGATTTTTTTTTTAAATTTGCAAGTTCAAAATCTGTTTGGCACCTTGGCATTCCCCTCCCTCCAAATGCCAATGCAAATCAAACTGCCATAGTTTAAAAAAAAAAAGGATGTTTTTAAAATTATGAAATTTATATAATTATTAATGTCAATTAAACATCTAAATCGAAACTTAACAATATCGCATGAATAAACAAACTTCACTAAAATTATACTTAACACATTATTTATAAAAAACATTGACTTTTATTCCAAAATGATTATTCAATAAATTCATAAATAGTATTGAAAAATATGTCAGATTGAGTTTAACAATAATGATTCATAAATAAAAACTCATAATAGCAAATTAAAAGAGAAATATTTTTACATGAATTTCAAATTCAGATAAATATTCATTCCTCATTTATTTAAATGCTCGACAAATAGATTTTTTAATTCGTAGGAACATAAAACATACCATTAAAACATCTGAATGTAAAGATCTGTCCCTCGTCACGCTGACCGTGTATATGTCGTAAATGTGTTTTATAACTTTCGTTTTTTCCACCAATTCCAAATACAATTCCACATATTGGACAAGTGCGGCTATTTTTCGTAGGTGGACGTGCAGTATGTACTTGCTGCACATGTTTAAATAAGTACTGTATTTTAGAGAAAGAACATTTGCAAAATCTACAAATGAAATTGGCAGGTTGATCGCTATCCATTATAAACTGTAATTACATTTGATCATTTGCGCAAGAAAAGCGAATTAAGATAGCACTTCTGTTTGGTAAACAAATTCTATTTACAAAATATTATTATGAATCAATGAACTTCCAATTATCCACCAGCATTTTCACAGGATATAACCGCTGTGATAAAATTTCACCAGGCGCATGCGCAGTAGAAAGAGAGTCAAGTTGGATATTGCCAAACTGATTCCATCTTTAGAACCGAAAAATTTCGAAACTGAGCATATACGCCTGACGTCATAAAAAAGAGAAAGTAGCTAGGACGCAGGGCTCGCAGCAGTTGCTCTTCCAATTTTTATTTTACGAAAAGTGCGAACTTGTATGGATGGTGTTTTCTACACTAGAACACCTAAATTTCCGGGTTACTGTTTCAGTTGTATTTTAAAGGCATTTGGCATCATTGTGTTTTGAGATTCTTGCAAACAATGTATTTGATTACTTATGTTTACAGTGCTAGCAATACTTGTGTTTACAATACTAAAAGTGTTAACACCAACGTAAGATGGTGCACAGCTTGCAACACGAACAAACAGTAATAAACAAATGGAAAGAGGCCAAATCAAGACTGCCAAAAAAGCGAGATATTCAAAATCTAGCAACCATGTCACCTTTTTTAATAATAAATAACAAAATAACAAAAACAAATTTTCACTCCAAACTCCCCAGAATTACATAATAACATTAATATCTTATGAAATACGGCAGATTTGAGCTCAGAAATTATCTAATTTATTTCTTTTATTGAAAACAAAATTATCCGTTTGAAAACATCGCCTATCAGAATAACATGTAGTAAGCAGCTGCAAACTTTTTAACCGGAACTAGAGTAGGTGCCGAGATCGAGATTGTTATTGTTTACATTCCAATTGAAAACACCATTCATAGCGTAATTAAAAGCGATAAAAATAAAGCTGCTGATTTAGAAACTAAATAAAAATAATGAGGTTTCTGAAATACATTTTTATCAAAAAAAGTATTAAATGGTAGTTAGCTGCAAAAGTTTTTTTATTTGTTAAAAATATGGACTTGAAAAACGAAATACTAAAAGAGTTTAATAAGTTATACTTTTCAGTACATTTAAAATAGCAAACTGCATTTTCAACAAAAGATTCACTCGGACCGCTATGACTGCTAACGAAAATATTCAGATTAAAAGAATCAAGAAGATTGAGTGGGTTAAGAAAGAGGAGCTAAAATTTCAACCAACTGTTTTTATACTTTTAAAAACTGTGATTTGTTTTTATATTTTTACATCTTTTTCAACTGTGATTGTTCGATTTTTATTTTTTTCTTTACTATATGCACAGCTTATTAACTTCGTTTATAACAAGTATTCTAAAAATGGGCATTAAATGCTATGATTACAGAATACTCTTAACATAAATCTAATGCATTACATTTTAATTTTTTATTATTTTGTACAGAAACTACCAATTGATCTAATTTTATCCTTTTTACAAGCAGATTTTGAAGAATAACACGGACCATATTAAAGTTTTTTTTTTTTTTTACCAATCTTGGAATTGAAAAAACAAATAATGATCATTACTGGATGAAATAATAAAAAATAACACATAATTATTATAAACTATTCTCTGTACAGAATTATATTTGGATAATCTAGCTCAGTGGTTTCCAAATGGCGGCCCCGGGGACGCATCCGGCCCGCAAAGCCTTTTTTTGTGGTCCGCGAACTAAAATGTATTAGCTGTCATTTTTTGCGGACAATTTTCGTAAAAAATCTATATGGGTTTAAAATACTTTTCTCGTTAATAAAAACCTAATTTCTTCGTTTCTGTGAAATTTATCATACCAACGGTGCAAAAAAATTTATTTCTCAGGTTTTGCATTCAAGAAAATATTTATTCAAATACAAAAATAATCGTGTAAAATCTTTTTTCTATTTCATTTTTTTCTTTTCTTTTTTTTTTTTTTGTATTTTGTGTGCTACTATGTAATTTAGCATGTGTGTATCAGAAATTTTCTCGAAGAAATTCTCCGATTTAACTTTTTGAAACCACTCATTTTGGACGAAAATATTTACACACACATTTGTAAATTTTAAATTTAAAATCCAAATTTCTATTCTCTGGTGGTTGCAGTAGACAAACCTCAATTTTGTCATTGAACATTTTGTGTGCTACTATATAAGTTTTAATGCCAACCTTTTTAAAGTTTTATATCTTAACAATTAGATATCTATTGCACATTAATTGTTTAATACAAAATATATTGTTTAATACACATTAAAGGTATTGTAGAACGAATTTTTTAGTATGCAATTAAATATTTTTAAAAATCTACTTCTTATTTTAATTTGTAATTCAATACTTTTGTTTTGTACAACTTGGTAAAAATCTGACAGTAATATTTAATGTTCCTTCAACAAAATTGCGGACCGCCATTTGATTTGTGTTTGTAATTGTGGTCCCCGGCCTCATGTAAGTTGGAAACCCCTAATCTAGATTTAAAAGAATATTTATAATTGCATGAAAAATTTATTTTAATTTGATTAAGCATGTAATAATTCTGTAATATTTTCTATTACTTTATTTAATAATAGTCTAAAAAAAACTTTGAGCAGTCAAGCATAGAAGTTTTAACTTTCTTTTAAACAATGCAACTTTAAATCACAAAATACCTATTTACAACAAAATCTGTTAAGCAAGTTGTGAATTATAAAATTTAAGAAAAATTGTGTTATTCTATCTCTCAAGAGCAATTCGACTGTTCACATTTTGTACTCTTTCATAAAAAATTGCATACTTTAAAATGATATAGAATTTTATATTTTTTACAACTTAGAGTTTTTACGACTATATTAAATAAAAAATTAAAAAAAATCACAGAAAAAGAGTTTTTTTTTTTTTGAAACTACACTATCTAGCCATTAATGACCGGACACCCCTTGAAAGGCAGGTGGACTCGTCCTGGCGGAATAAATACGCAACCTGTGGTAGGGGAAAGACCATTCGCAAGCAGGCGACGGCCATACGAGCGTTAACAGTGAAAATGAGTGGACGGCGAGAGCTGAATGAGGCGGAAAAGGACATGATCATAGGCTCCCACCGATTTGGTCATTCCATACGTGCCATCTCCGACAAGTTTCAGATACATCGGTCAACAGTTGGTGACGTCGTGTTGAAATGGGAACGAGAGGGAGTGATAAAACCGCAGTCCCGACCCGGCAAGCCCAAAATAATGACCGACAGGGATCGACGATGTCTTCGACGTGTAGTGAAGGCAAACCGACAAATGTCGTTGAACACTGTCGCTCCAGCATCCGGGCTGCATCTGGCAGTATTGCCAGTACACGTACCATTCGTCGGGAGCTGATTGTGCAAGGATTCCATGGACGAGCAGCAGCACATAAGTCAAACATCTCTCCATCAAACGCCCGCCACCGATTTCAGTGTTGCAGAGCACGTCGCCAGTGGACAGTAGAGCAATGGAAAAGCGTTACGTGTAGTGATGAGTCACGCTACATGTTGTGGCACTCTGATGGACTGGTGTGGACCTGGCGAATGCCCGGAAAGCGGTACCTACAGCAGTGCATTGTCACCACTATGAAGTTCGGCGGTGGAGGAATTATGGTGTGGTCCTGTTTCTCATGGTTTGGCTTTAACCCTTGGTGTTAGTGCGTGGAACCCTGAACGCAGAAGGGTATAGAGACATCCTGGACAATTCGGCGCTTCCCTCCCTACGACAACAGTTCGGTAATGGCCCGTTTGTGTTTCAACACAATAACGCTGCCATTTATAAAGCACATGCCATCACGGACTGGTTTGATGAAATGGGGGTGCAAGAACTTGACTGGCCATCCCAAAGTCCCGACATCAATCCAATTGAGCATCTCTGGGATGAGTTGGAACGCCGGTTGAGGGCCAGACTACAACGCCCCAAAACCACCACTCAACTCTTCGCCATGTTACAAAAGGAATGGCGGGCAATACCTGCCGCCGTGTACCAACACCTAGTGGATAGCCTTCCTAGAAGGGTTAAAGCTGTGATTCGGGCGCGTAGCGGCCCTACGCCCTACTGACTTGATACTAGCACCTCATGTATCCGAAATGAGAGGTGTCCGGTCATTAATGGCCAGATAGTGTATATTAGGGTAAACGAGTCTTTCCTAAGTGAGTGCAAGGATTTTTGAACTTCACAAATAGTTTCAGAGAAAACACACACGAAAAAAAGTGACGTTAACACTTTTGTTTCGACAGATGTCTTAATTAAACTAATTTGATCACATTTCCCCGATTGCCGCTAATCCCATGTTTAGGTAGTCAAAAATGCTAATGGCTCACTACAAGTGAAATCGACCAGTAACAGTCGCCGTTATGTCACAAATTTTCATGAAAATTCTTTCTAGAAAGGTTCTTAATGAAAAATGACAGAAGTAATTTTTTCAAATACAATTTTGAAATTTGACTCCATTTAAGAAAATGGCTTAACTCGTGGTGGTTCGTTTGTTAAAAATGTCTATATCTTTTTTATTTAGCTGCAGTTTTTTTTTTCTAATTTTGGTGTCATTAGAAAAAAAGGTTCAACACTATTAATTAAGACATTGAAATGCTGAAAATAATTACATAATTTTTTTTAAAAAAATTAATTGAAATAATTACTTTTTGACAAATTTGTAGAATTTTTTCGTGGGAAATTAACAATTTTCACCTTATCAATTTTTTTTACTCCCAATGTTAAATATCATGCTTACCAACATAAAAAAAATCAAATGTAGTTTTAAGCCAAAATATTTCAAAATTTTTTTAAAGCACAAAGATATTATCTTCAAATTTTCTCCATAATGTCAGTTGACATATTTTTCAATTTAAAAAATCAATAAAATCTTTATTGTTTTAAGTCCTTAAAAATATAAAACTGGTTTTCAGTTAAAATACTTCAAGATTTTTTTATTTTTGTAAAGACAAGTACGACCTTTAAAAGATATGACATTTAACATTATAGGAAAGAAAGAAAAATTGAAATGAAGAAACTTTGTTTTGGTGATATAAAAATAAAAAAAATTTCGGCTAAAAACCAGTCCTTCATTTATTTATTTTTTGTGACCAAAAATATCCTCTTGAGTTTCTTGTATGACAAAATATAATACGTAACATAAAGAGAAAAATATTGAGATCAATAAACGTTAGCTTTTTTGCTATAAAGTTGAGCAATTTTAACTAGAAACCA